TGGCACGAGTGTGGTACGAGTGTGGCACGAGTGTGGCACGAGTGTGGTACGAGTGTGGCACGAGTGTGGTACGAGTGTGGTACGAGTGTGGCACGAGTGTGGCACGAGTGTGGTACGAGTGTGGCACGAGTGTGGCACGAGTGTGGTACGAGTGTGGCACGAGTGTGGTACGAGTGTGGTACGAGTGTGGCACGAGTGTGGTACGAGTGTGGTACGAGGAGTGTGGCACGAGTGTGGCACGAGTGTGGCACGAGTGTGGCACGAGTGTGGTACGAGTGTGGCACGAGTGTGGACGTTTCACGCCGACTCGCGGCTCCCCATCCACGTGGCACCATCCGTCCTGGCGGCAGAACAAACGTCGCCAGCTGTAAAGAGACGCTGCCCTTCGGTTATTTTTCCTTCCCCCACGAAGGAAGATTACGGGGGAGAGATCGGGTTTTGTTTAACCCGGCGAGCAATCAAGAGGGCAGGATCGAGTCTCATTTGCGAAGAGTGACTCGGGTCACCGAAATGATGGCGCGGAGGTGGCTGGTTTGGCCATTTGACACGTAGGCTTTCGCGACCAATATTATTAATAATAAACGTTTTTGGGTTAGATCGCGTTATTTATAAATGTGTCGCAACCCTCCACCACCCGACACGGCCAATCAGCAAAAAAATGTGTCACGTTGACAAACGACAATTATCTTCAACACACCTGTGGGCTAAAGTAGTGAACTATTTGTCTTTTGTCAACGTGACACTTTTTTTACTGATTGGCCGTGTCGGGTGGTGGAGGGTTGCGACACATTTATAAATAACGCGATCTAACCCAAAAACCTTTATTATGGTTTGGACATTGCTCGCCACCGATGCTCGCCATGGCCAGTAATCAAACTCTCCCGCCCCCCCCATAACAAAGATCCCCCGTGTAGCCTGTAACAGACTGTAGGGGCAAGTGCTGTTTGCGAGCACCTATGAAGGCCGGAAAGGTACACGAGGGGGTGGGTGGCCAGCGTCACGCCCCACCACCTTTGTCTCCCCAGTGACGATGTTTACACACCGCACCAGGTACTCATTTGAGGGTGAGACGACCTAGGGGAGGCCCGGGATCGGTTCAGGTAATCGCCACCGGTGTCGGCCGTGATCGGGAACCGAACTCGGGCTGCCGGGTTCAGTAGCGCGGCGCGCTAACCGCTACGCTACCGCTCCCCCACTCCCAACACATACGCACGCACACGCACGCACAATATTAATGCAATGAAATCCCTGTGTAGCACACAAAGCACTTCAGTCATAATTGCACAGTAGCTGTCAGCTCTTTGGCACGGGATCAGGGGCAACGCCTTTTTTTAAAGGAAGCCTTACCGGCCCAGGTGTGCCCAGCGCCTGCGGGAGAGGATTTAGTGGGACAAGGCGCAGACTCCTCCCATCCGTGGCTTCCGAGAGACACGTGGAATCGTTTCTCGCTCACGTCTGTTCTGCATCACTGCTCAAAATGGAGGCACTGGCCGGGTGTGGTGGCGGTGATGGTGGCGGTGGTGTAATCTGATGACTGTTGTAAGGGGTTGGTAGATCAGGCAGAGATGTGAAACGCACCTGGAGGGTAACAAAAGTTGCGTGCGGAGGAAGCTGTACAGCAAAGAGGCTTGAAACCTATCTAGGCTCAGACAAGCGTGCGTTGGTGCTCGCCCCGCTTTGGAGGCTGTGCGAGCTGGCGGTGTTAATTCCACATTGCTGTGGAAGGGGCCAGGCTGGGGTTGACCACTGAGGACTTGCCACGGCGATGAAAAGAGAACGAATAGGCTTTTACCGTCTCTGAAAAGAATACAGGAAGGGTTGAGATGCTCAGACACCACAGAGACCCCCATCACAAGGCATCAAGTCTGCATTAATCACACGTGCGTGTGGCTCTAACATGCAAGCAATGCAACAAGACAATGGCGTCCCAATATATTATATGTTAAACGCATATAGAGTAGAACTCTTCTTAACGACGTTAAGTGAGTTCGTCGCTAAGCGAGCATTAGGAAATACATTTCAAAGGCTTAATTCGTTTCGATAGCATCGAAAGTTACCCCTTTTTCACCCCAAAAATGTAACTTTGTAATATTTAAACAATGGATATAAATACATAAAGATACTTACAACATTATAAACAGATAATATTAAAAGAAACGTGGTTAATCAATGCATTAATATTTACTGTACCTACAACAGCCCGTCAAGGCATCAAGTCAGTAAGCGAACACATTGGGCTCTATGGAGGCACTACACGACTATACACTACACTCTACACTCTATATATTACACTACTATATACTACACTATACACTACTATATATTACACCACTATACACTACACTATACACTACTATATATTACACTACTATATATTACACTACTATACACTACTATACACTACATTATGCACTACTATATATTACACTACTATACACTACTATATATTACACTACTATACACTACACTATACACTACTATATATTACACTACTATACACTACACTATACACTACTATATATTACACTACTATACACTACACATTGGGCTCTATGGAGGCACTACACTACACTACACACTACATCACTATACACTACACTATTATACACTACACTATACACTACACAATACTATACACTACACTACACACTACTATATACTTCACTACTATACACTACACTTCTATACACTACACTATACACAACACATTGGGCTGGTTGGAGGCCCGTCGTTAAGCGATTAGTCGTTAACAGGGGTGGTCGTTCAGAGGGGTTCTGCTGTATGTTGCATTTCTTTTGCACCGTACGTAGTCATCCGTGCTAATCGGAGGTGCGGGGAAAGGATAACAAACTAAAAGACAATACAAGTCGTCAAGCAATAAGATTGCACTACTTTGCAATCTTATTGCTTGACGACTGCAATGGGGGATGGAGCTGTGGTACAGCGGTTTATGCACTCCGCTGTGAACCCCGGTTTTCCCGAGATTGATTCCTGGCCATGGCTGACATCGTCTTCTCGCCCCCTCTGCTACGCTCGCCAGTAAAAATAAATTGTGCCAGCGTCTGCGTAGCATCCCCTAGCTTTCGTTCGCACCTCGTACAACCCCTGCCCGCGTCCCACGCGGCATCCGATTATCATCCGTTGGCTACGCACGGTGCGAAAGAAGTTCAACGTGCGTACGTACGTACATTCACCAACCTTGGCTGACCAAGCCATGACAGACGTGGCATGGGGAGGCCTTTATCCAGCAGTGGACGATTGACAAAGGGCTGCACAGTATTATTTTTATGGTTTTACATCGGCGTGACGCGGGCGCGCGAAGCGAAATCCCGCCGATTGAATGAGGCTTTGATGGTGGAACGCCGGTAAACTCCTCTGCCCCCCGTCCTGTCCCGTCCCCCCACGGCAAATTGGGCGCCTGTCTCACGTTCGTCACTCACGCGAAGGGGCACGTCCCATCACGCCGAGAACCTCCCATCGACGCTGGGCGCCGCGTGGAGCCAGCCCCTCTTTTTGTCGAGGCTCCACGGAGCGCCGGCGATAATCGCCCAGATGTATTGTCGGATTTTAAACGCTGCGGTCCCACCCTGAGCGGTCGTATTTTTTTTTATATATATTACGAAGAATATATGTGTACGGTTGAAGGGAAAGATGCAGCCCTGCAATTGCTTGCTCACGCCACTGCCGGCAGAACGGCTTCCGATAGAGCGGTGGTTCTTAACCTGGGGGGGCGCGCACGCTGTACCCCCTGGGGGTGTGCGAGACGTGACCAGATTTTTTTTAGAAAGTAAATCATCGAAACGCAAATTAAGCACGGGCACGTGCGTGCAACTACTTTGTGTCACCGAACCCTGTGTGTTTATTAACATGAAAAAAACATGCGATGGAGAACCAAAGGGGCACAGGCTGCAGTGAAGGTTAAGAGCCACTGCACTAGAGGGAAAGGAGTTCTCGGAAACCTGCCCAAGAGCGTCTTCTCGCCCACTCTGCCACGCTCGCCAGACGTCTCTGAGGATTTGAGAAACTCGACCATTGTTTCGGCCGCAGCGCCGGGGGATCGAACCAGCGACCTCTGGATTGCAAGTCCAGTGTGCTGACCATTACACTATGAACCGTGTGTGTGCGTGTGTGTACTTTATCATGTTACTTAAATTACGCATTGCTGTGGTGAGGTCGCGTACCCACCCAACTGCCTATCTACCCACACACCCACCTACCAATGTCCTTAGCATTTCCACCAACCCACCTATCTGCTCACTTTTTCATCTACCTACCCACTCATCTACCTAATTACTCACCCACCTACCTACCAAACCACCTACTACTAACTTTTCCCACCCACCATTCTACCTACCTATGCCCATACCTACCTACTAACCCTTCCAATTACTATGATACCCACCCAACCACCAAATGGTCTACATACCCACACATCCACCTACCTGCCAATCCTCTCAACTACTTCATTTGAGGCTGATAGAGTATGGATGTGCTGCTGCAGTGAACTTACACAAAAACAATGTTATTATGGCCCCAAGGGGCTCCAGGGGGGCCGAGATTCGTGTGATATAATAATAATAATGTGTGAACCAAATACGAGCTGAAGACGAAAATCACTATGAACGTAAATAAGCAAATGAATCGCTAATCTCCAGCGTGCCTAGTGTCTGGCCGTCAAACTAAGACGGTTGTTACCACATCGCACCCTTTCAGACGCGCTTCTGCGGCCGTCTGGAACACTCTTCCTTCCGATATTATGAAGCCACTGGAACTATGCAATTTACATCTAGATTGAGAGCTCATTTCTGTTCGAACTGCTTTGTGTGTGTCAGTTTGGTGTCCTTCCCCCGCGCCTCCAATTATCACAGTTGGCTACGTACGGTGCGAAAGAAGTTCGACATACGTGCTCACACAAACGTCTATATCTCTCTTCTCTCCTCCAACCCCTCCGCCCCCTCGCCTGCGACACCTTTTCGATCGTCTCACGACCGCCGCGGCAGGGTGTGGCCGGACGCGACGTCAACGGAGCCGCACTACAACTCGTACGGTGCGACGGCCACGGAGGCCGAGCTGGACGTGCTCACGGGCGAGCACGTGCTCAGGCGTGTCGACATCCTCTTCGACTGCGGCCAGAGGTCCATGCGAGCGCACACGTGCGCGTGTGTGTATGCGCGCGTGTGTGTGTGTCTGTGGGGAGCGGTGGTGTAGCGGTTAGTGCTACGCTGCGCTGCGAACCCGGCGTGCCGAATTCGATTCCCGCTCACCGCCAACACCAGTGAAGATTAGCTGAACCGGTCCTGGGCCTCTCTTAGGTCGACTCAGCCTCAAATGAGTACCTGGTACGGTGTGTAAACATCGCTACCTGGGAGACAAAGGCGGTCGGGCGTGGTGTTGGCCACCCACCCCCTTGTGTGCCGTGCCGGCTCGCCAACAGCACTTGCCCCAACAGTCTGTAAAGGTTATACGGGGGGATCTTTTTTTGTCTTTCATTGTGGGGAGCGGTAGTGTAGTGGTCAGAACACCGCCTTGCGAACTCCCTTGTGTGCCGTGCCGGTCTTCACAGCTGCTCGCTAACAGCACTTGCCCCAAAAGTATGTAAAGGCTATACTGGGGGATCTTTGTGTGTGCGTGCATGAAGGACGCTACTACTGGACAGTTACAGGCAGTCACCCTCCAACAACAGCGGAGGGCTTAGGAGTAACACGCTCACAAACAGCGAGCGGAGCACTGGGCAGCTAAAACATAGCAAGTTGGCACAGTTGGGGGCACAGATAGCTCATCTGGCAGTCATCTCAATCAGCCAACCCATAGCACCTGGATCTGTCCCGTAACCTCCTGCCAGCGAGCCTTCGGCATTTCACGTGGCCTCAAAGTGCACACAGCCTGACACAAGCGCCGCGGTGATGTCACCGCCACTTAGTGGCGCATGGCGGTTGTTGTTGTTGTTGTGCGTTTGTGTGCTTTCATGCATCTGCGTGTGCGTGCGTCCCGGTTGGGGCGAATGTGCTGCTGGACGGGAAGGAGGAGGGTTGGACGCGTCTCCATCCTAGAGAACCATTTTCTGCGAGTAGCCGTGAAAAGCCCGCATTGAGTACGATGGGCATGATGATGGTGGTGATGACGGTTATGGAGAAGAGGTGATTTTGATGATGATCATTATCATCATCATGATACGAGTGGGAAAATGTTGATTATGATGATGATGCAGCAGAATTATGATGATTATGACAGTGCTATTGATAATTAAAGGCTATGAAGGACATGGCCGATGGCATTAAAACGTTTGTGGCGGTGCTCATCGTCGCCGGACGTCCAGAGCTGATGCTGGCAACGCTCGTTTCTTACGCGGGGCGGTCGTCAATCCGAGCACCGTCCAGGGGTGATTCGTTCGCGGGCCATGACGACGATGGCAACAACGCGACAAAATTGTAACGTGTGCACGTTGAACTTCTTTTGCACCGTACGTAGCCAACCGCGCTAATCAGAGGTGCGGGAGGGAGGACAACAAGCTAAACGCAAAAAAAAACTGTTTTAAAGAATTGAATTTTGCATCTAGATTTAGAAGTGCATCGCTCCAGTCGCTTCCTAAAATCGGAAGGAAGAGCGTTCCAGACGGCCGCAGAAGCGCTTACAAAAGCGAGCGATGCTGTGAGCGTCTTTGTTCGATGGCTAGCCAAAAGCCGCTGCGAGGATGGCCGGAGTTGGCGTGATGGTTTTATGTTCCTTGACGAGATCGACAAGGTATTGTGGCAAGCACTTTGTGTGTAACGAGTGGGATCCTATAATGCATCCGTTCAGTGACGTTGCGGTTCCGTCGTTTTCTGCGGCAGCATGAACCCGGCGATTGACGTTGGGCAGGTGGAGGGCGCCTTCACCATGGGCCTGGGCTACTGGCTCACGGAACGCCTGATCTACCACCCCACCAGCGGGCAGCTGCTCACCAATGGCACGTGGGAGTACAAACCTCCCAGCAGCAAGGTGGTACCCGCTCGCTCCAGCCGCGCACCGTCGCCGCCCAGTGTGGTAGCAGAATTCTTCACACGTCCGGGAGCCACGAGGCACGCACGTTTATATGGGGCGGTCACGTTGGGGGGGGGGGGGGGATGGGGGGGGGTCACGTGGAGGGGTCATGTGGGGCAGTCACTTGGGACGGTCACATGGGTTCAAGATCAGTTCCGATATCCGTCACTGGTGTTTGGTGGCCGTGGGCGGGAATCGAACCCGGGTTGCCAGTTTGGTAGCGCTTCGCACTAACCGCTACACTGCAGCTCCCGCACACACACACACACACATATACGTGCAAACACGTGTGTGCACGCGCACGTACACAGACCACTCGTCACTCATCACAAAAATGTGAATTAAAGAAAAACGCTACAAAATGTCAAGGTCACGGGCCCTGCACCCCGTTAGGTCGGCCCACTGTGCCGGTCTCTCTGGGATTGACGAGGGGAATGCGAACGGATGGCGAGGGTTCGCACACCGCCGCTATTGTGCGAGCGCACGCGCACACAGACGCACGAGCATGCCGCCACTCCGGGGCAACTGTCACTCCCCCAGCTATTTGCCGAGGATAAGAGGGGGGGGGGCCCCATTCATGCACAGCACACAGCACGGGCGGAAGTCAATAATAATAAAATGATCATGACGAAATAAATAAATAAATATCCAAAGCCCGCATTCATCTTCCTGCTCACACGAGCGTGTGCTGGTGCTCGCCCCCGTGGTTCGGATTGATCTCTGCATCCGTCAGCCACCGTTGACTTTTCACAAAGTAGTCGTCATTTTATTAACCTGCAGATGGATGATGGATGGGCTGAGTCAGCCGCTGCTTGGGATTTGAATTTCAAACTGTCCAGTTGCAAATCGAATGACATAGAACCACCCAGCCAGAGAAAACAATTAAATAACAAACCACAATTCTTTCACTCGGTGTAAAGGTTTTAATTAACGCTTCTTTCTTGCTGAAGGGGAAAGGCTTTGAACATGGGCTTGGTTATCTTTACACATTGGCTTTGAATATAAAATGAATGCATTATTACAATCACATTTGTCATGTCGAAGAATTTCTCAAGGCGTTTTCAGGAGGGGTCCTGCATTGGGATATTTAATCGTGACTTGGGGCACGCGCCACAACAAGATCACCCACAGACAGGAAATGCATACACGTTTCTGACGCCCAACAATCTGCAGAGATTGCTGAGGAAACCAACTTTCTGTGCTGCCATCTGACAAGCCACGCCCTGGATGGCCTGACTTTATCCTGGCCTGCTGCAGTGTGCATTGCCCTGGTGTGGCGTGACTCTCCCTGGATGGGCGTGGCCTAACATCCCCTGGCCTGGCGTGACGTACGAAAGTATGTCACGTTGAACTCATTTTGCACCGTACGTAGCCAACCGTGCTCATCGAACTTGTCCTGGGTATGGCGTGGCCAGAACTTGTCCTGGATATGACGTGGCCTGATCTCTGTCGTGGCTCGGCGTGACTTGTCTTGCCGTGGCCTGAACTTGTCCTGGATATGGCGTGGCCTGATCTCTGTCGTGGCTCGGCGTGACTTGTCTTGGCGTGGCCTGAACTTGTCGTGGCGTGCCGTGGCCCGTCGGGGCGTGGCGTGCGCAGGACATCCCGGTGGACTTCCGCGTGCACCTGCTGAAGGACGCCCCCAACCCGGCGGGGGTGCTGCGCTCCAAGGCGTCGGGGGAGCCGCCGCAGTGCATGTCGTGCAGCGCACTGCTCGCCGTGAAGCACGCCGTGCAGGCGGCCCGCGCCGAGATTGCGCGCAACGACTACTTCCCCCTGCGTACGTGCGGCGACGGGGGCACACGAGCGTCACGGCTCGGTGTGGCGGGGTTTGCTTGGCCGCGGTGCGGCGTGGTTTGCGCGGTGTGGCGTGGTTTGTGCGGTGTGGTACGGTTTGCGTGGCGTGGCGAGGTGTGGCACGGTTTGCGTGGTGTGGTGTAGTTTGTGCGGTGTGCTTCCATTCACCGGGGCAGGGGATGCTGTGATTCCATAGGTTATGGTTTGGTAGAGTGTGGCTTGGTTGGGTAGGGTGTGGTGTAGTTGGGTAGGGTGTGGCTGGTATCAATGGTTCTGTGGTGTGGCTTTGCTATTGTTCGTCAGCGTTATGGCAATGCATAGAACGTATAGCTCACGTGTGGTGCAGTCGACTCTCGAATATCCGAGGGAATGGGGTGGAGGGGTGGCATGGATAGATCAAACCACACAGACTAAGCATAACACGCGTAGATTCGTCCATGAGCACGTGCTCATTGTTTACCTGCGCAGAGTGGCTCAGCGCCGTATGTTTACTTGCCCGCGGTGTCTGCGGTGTCTGGGGTCACGCGGGGCTCCCCAAGACGCTGAACCCCGACGAGTGAGGAGCAGCTAACTAGAGAAAGAGCAGGCATGCAATCATTTATTTTACAAGCGGGGTTAATCTGTAACCCGGGTAATCTGCCCATGGAGAGTTACCGCACAGAATGAATGGCCCGGCCGTCAGTGATTTTGGTATTGTGTGGTTTTTGTGGGGTATGGGTTGGCATAGATTTAAAAAAAATACCAGGGAAAGGCAACACTGAGCTATCAGTTCATTTTCAGAAGCCACAAACGATAGCGCAAAGAATGGCTTATCACGAGGAAATTTACAGCAGCAAAATAATCTCTAACACGCGTTGATTCTCAATGTGGCGGGGAAAACCGGAGGACCCGGAGAAAAATCCACTCAACCCCAGGGAGAGAGAGCGTGCACCCTCCAAATATACAGCAGGCGTCATGGGTCGGGATCGAACCCACGGCCTCCTGCACACCAGACGAGGGAGATAACATCTCGCCAGCGGGCGAGAGTCGTCTGCTCGTGTGTGTTGCTGGGTGCGGTGGTGCGTGGCGGCGTGCGGCTCGCCTCGGCACCACCCTTTGTGGCAGCGCGGCTTCAGCAATGCACGGCAATACATCACGGCGTCGCATGATATATGGTACATGACGCACATCCCTTGAGGGACGCGACAAGGCGTAAAAATGCGAAAATAATTTAACAGTTTTTTTTTACTCCGCCGCCGCCGCCGCCCACGTAGAAATAAATAAAGCTGTGAAATGTTTTAGATTTATTGGTCACATTGCAAGAACGGAAATTATTATTCGCAAGTGCCACTTGCCAACGTAGCCTGGGGCACAACTCTGTGGAACGTTACCGTTATGCAGAGTACACCTCTACGGAGTGGACACCCCTGCTAACGCCGGTTCCTCACAACGAGAAGGCCCTGGGTTTGATTCACAACCCGGGGGCGTCTTTCCGTATGTTCTCCCCCTGTTCTGCATGGAATTCCTCTGGGATATCTGCTTTCCTCCTCTTGCAAAACTAAAAAAAATTCGAACGATGTACCTGGTATTGGATGAGAAATTACTTGCAAATTACTCAACTGGGATTATGCAGAGCAACAAAATTGCCCCTCCCAACTCCCACTGCGAAAATACAAAAAAGTAAAACTTGGCAGGACCCTCTTGATAACGAGTCTTGAGACTCAGTGACGCTTTCTTGGATAAACAAGCGTAAGGATATCCAGAATACAACGACAAAGATCCCCCCATATTGCTTCAAGATACTTTTAGGGCAAGTGCTGTTAGCGAGTTCTGCCTATGAAGTCCGGCACAGCACACGATGGTGTGGGTGGCCAGCACCACGCCCAGCCGCCTTTGTCTCCCGAGTGGCGATGTTTACACACCGCACCAGGTACTCATTTTATGCTGAGTAGACCTAGGGGAGGCCCAGGACCGGTCCAGATAATCGTCACCGGGGTTGGCCTTGAGCGGGAATCGAACTCGGGCGACCAGGTTCGTAGCGCACGTATGACATCTCAATGCAGAACATGTCTAGACAGGGCATGCCACTATACAGAGAGCGTACATCTGTGTACGTCATAACCTTCGTACAGAACACGCCGCTACACCTACAGCAAACCGTTAGGCATAAAAAACTATGCTATGCACTTTTAAATAATCTAGATTTAAAACTCATTCATTGAGAACTACTTTTTGTGTTTAGTTTGTTGCGTGTTTTTTTTCGCACCATACATAGGCAAGCGTGCTAATCGGAGTTGCGGGAGGAGGACAACAAACTGAACACAAAAATCAGTTCTCAAGAAATGAGTTTTCCATCTAGATGATTTAAAAGTGCATAGCTCCAGTAGCTTCCTAATATCGGAAGGAAGAGCGTTCCAGACGGCCGCGAAAGCGCATCTGAAAGCGCCGCGCGACGCGGTAACCGCCGCCTTTGTTCGATGGCGAGCGGCCAAAAGCCGCTGGCTGCTACGAGGATGAGCGGAGTTCGCGTGATGATGGTTCATGCTCCTTGACCAGATCAGCAAAGTATTGTGGTTCACCTCCGATCAAGCACGGTTGGCTACGTACGGTGCGAAAGAAGTTCAGCATACACATACGGCACACCTCGTGTTGAAACGCAGAAAGAGCGAAGCATCTATGCAGTAAAGGCAGCCCACCGCCCACCCACTGATCGATATATTGCCCCGCCACTCCCTCCCCCATGCCTTGCGTTTTTCCATAGAAAAGCGATTCCTCCTCGTCTGCAGACGACAATAATGGTAATGGTAGTAATAATAATCACAACAGCAAACCCTGAGTTGGTGAATCATGCCGCGGGACGTTCGCCCGAGGGAGTCGGCCCACACGGGGCCCGCGCATTAATTCAGCGCCGTCTGGCAAAATAATCGACCCCGATGTCCGGTGCGCAACGCGTTACTTCAAGTCGTGCAAGATGCGAAATGCGTGTAAGTGACTCACGTTCGCGACGTCGTTTTGCCTCGGCGTTCATAGCCGCCGCGACATTCCGCGATGCCGGGCACTTATTTTCCCGTGGAGTTGTGCTCACGGGGATTTGTGTGCCTCGACACACGCACAAAGTGCACACTTTTATTTGCTTATTTTAATTCTCTCTTTTTCTCTCTCATAGACTTCGCATTCCTTCATGCCCTTCCTCTGACTTGACTCTCAAAGTCACCTCACTCCTCCTCTCGCTCCCCATTCCACCCACTCCCTCTCTCAGCCACCGTCCCCGCGCAATAAATGCGCGTGCGTTGGGAGGTCTCCCTTTTCCTCTGTGCTGTTCGTAATGTCTACAATGGTATTTTCTATGCTGTTTGTAGTATTATATATGATTCACTCCCTCCGCATCGGCACAAACTTAACACGTCTATTCTGTCTTACTAGTCATTGATTTCTGCTAAAGCCTCCATGATCCGGGCATATGGAGCCTCCTATACGCGAGTGTTTTAATGCAGTCAGCTGGTACATGGCAGAGGTTGCAAATACAAATCCTGGCAGTGGGTTGACTTTCCTCGTCACCCGACTCGGATCAATAAATTAAGCACCACCATGCGGGGACTGAACATGTGTTTGCTGTCTCACGGATAGACTCGCACCCACCACAGGAATCCTCAGTTGCCACCACTGGTCCGAGATTAGTTTGAGTTCATTCGATTTTTGTTCCACAGTCAGTTGCCCAGCTATTTCACAAGGGAGATCCGTGACGTGTGAGCACAGAAGCAACAAAAAGGACAAAAGACGTCAGTATTGCAGATGATCGCCAGAGACTCGCACTGCGCCACGCTCGTGTGCATAAATTATCTTTTAGCTATTTTTTAAAAAATATTTTACCAGGTAAGGCCCACGAGCTACACAGCTCTCTTTCAGAAGCGACCTGGCCACACATGATAGCTCAACAAAGTGGCTTATCATGTCGAAATTGACAGCAGCCAAATTACCCTAACCGCATGTTGAGTCGAACTGCGGAAGGGAAAACCGGAGCACCCGGAGGAAAAAATCCACGCGACCATGGCGAGAGAGAGAGAAAAAGGAAAATACAAATATACATGAGGTGTCAGGGTCGGGATTGAATCCACGACCTCCTGCATACCGGGCGTGGGAGATAACATCTCGCCACCGTGGCACCAGATTATGGGGGGCACGAAGACTTGTTTTTATTGATCTTGTTAGTGGATCAAGTATAGATAGCAGCCGTTTGGCATACCCACCAGCTTGGCAACAAAGTGTCATTTCGGAGTGCAGTACAGCAAGTAGGAGTCCAACTTGCTCTACGTGGCTGATGATTGACACGTAAGCCGTAAATCATCAGCCATGATCTAGCCACTGCTAGAGAGGATGCCACTGTCGTGAGCCACGACCACCAGCCATTGTTCCTTCCCAGCGACGTGTCCCGCCAATGCAGTCCGCTTTACTTCGGTTTTTTTCTCGACGCTCATTGCGACGTCACCCCCTCGCGTGTACGTTCCTCCGATCCACGTGTACGTCAAACATTAAAAAAACATAAACCTATTGCCAGAAACATCCCGAGCAAAAAGAAAAAAACTGTCTGGATACTCACAGATTGTTGCAGGCCTCAACTAAGTCACGTATTATATTTGCATGCGTGGCACACTGTGTGGCAAAAGAGCTGCTTTTCCATCGCTGTGCAAGTTTTCACCCCTGTGGCAGGTTTACATCGCGCGCTGTGCCCGCGAGCGCAACAGAGTCTCCCCGACACAGCTAATAACCCCCCCGCCTGTACGTGACTGGGAACCGATAGCGCCCGCTAAGCCCCGTGATCTCTTGCACGGGTAAGCGATACGAGCGGTAGTAATCCACCATTCTCTCGGTCTAAGCCCGCCATCTGTACCGCCTCTGTGCATGCATCCGAGAGAGCATTGCATTGGGGAAAAGAAAATAACGTCTCGTGTTTTTTGACGCCACTCGGACTTTCTTGGTCACAGAAATTAAAAGCTGGCCGTGGTTGGGTGTCATTTAAAACCACGCTGCGATCGTAGGGGAAACAGGCTTTTTTTTTGCAAAAAAAATTTTTTGCGAACGACTGCGGATTTGTGCAATGAAAGTCCAAAATAAAAAGTGCCCTCATTCTCAAATGACCATGCGGTGGTTGCTAATCTCCGCTGGTACCTCTGACCCAGGAGTGAACATTTTACCTTCCCGTGGCAGGGGACCAGTCTCTCCACCGCTGGCTTATTGCAAAGGGGTACACTGTTTTATGCACCTCAAAGGGATGGTGGGTTGCATTGACTCACAACCAATTATCTGAACTCATAGTGTATGTTTAAAAAATACAAGCATGATTATCCTACTGGAGCAATGGGCACTGTTGAGCCAATGGTGGAAATTCCATGTTCGTATGGTCGGACCAATATTCTCCCTAACACAACGGCTTTAATTCACACAAAGGGACGTTACTTATCTTACTCTGGAGGGATGATGACGATCGTTATGATGATGGTGGTGGGGCTGAACTGAGTGCATCGGGTGGTGGTTGTCCTGGCAGTGATGATGATGGTGAGACTGATTGGGATGTCATTGGATGGTGATGCTGATGCTTCAACAATTACGGAAGCGACGATGTTCATAACGATGGTTGGAGCCCCTGCTTCTCTATCTCCAGAGCTACCAAGATTCTGCATTTATATGTGCAGTGTATATGTGTGAGCCGTGAATAAAAAAGTAATGTAGCCAGAATGAAGACGGATTGAATTAAGCCGCAAATTCCGATCACTTTAAAAAGATTAGAAAGCATAGATCACGTAGGAAATTTGAAATAAGAAAATTGAATTTTTGAATTGTCAGCTCTGCATTTCAGTCTTTGAAACCAGTATTAACCCTTTCATCTTACACAGCAGCGCCCTTTAAGCATTTCCTCCCAGATCTAACATGTGCACATGTGTAGAGCTGTGGTTATGTACAGTACAAAGTTAAATACGTATTCCAGGAATGATTCAATTATTATTTCAGTCGAGCAATGGAGACGGCTTGAATTAAGCCACAAATTCCGATAACTTTGAAAATATTAGAAAGCATAGATCACGTTAAAAAAATTAAATAAGAAAATATAATTTTTGAATTGTCAGCTCTGCGTTTCAGTCTTTGAAACCAGTATTAACCCTTTCATCTTACACAGCAGCGCCATTTAAGCACTTCCTTCCAGATCTAACGTGTGCACATGTGGAGAGTTGTGGTTATGTACAGTACAAAGTGAAATACGTATTCAAGGAATTATTCCAGAATTATTTCAGTCGAGCAATAATTGAGGGACACTTTGTCGTGGGCCAAAAGGGAAACTGGAACATATACCACAATAATGTGGAATTTCCACCCAGGCCCGATGACGGAGAAGAGCATTGCCACCCACACACGCGCTCGATAACGAGGACATACTCTGGATTTCTTTGACCGCGTGACAGCCTGTTGAGATCCACTGACTGTTGCGAGGCCGGGAGACCCATGCGCTGTGTATGAGATTGATTAAATGGTGGATGATTTGTCTTCCGCAGATGGTCCAGCCACGGTTGACCAGGTGCAACAGTGCTGTCTGGTGGATCCCAAACAGTTCACTCTGTGAGCGCCTCAATTCCTGACCCTCCACGTGGCTTTTTCAGCACTTCGTCTCCTGACCTCAATGAACTTCACCACCAGGAATGAAACGCACTCAACGATCGGCATTTATCAACCTTAAACGACCTAACTTCAACACTCCACTACTCAACCTAAACACTCCATCACCCAACCCCTACACACAAACACACAACCCCTACACACCAACACTCAACCCCAACACTTTACCACTTAACCCCAACACTCCACCACTCAAACCCCAACACTTTACCACTTAACCCCAACACTCCACCACTCAAACCCCAACACTCCACCAATTAACCACAACACTCCACCACTCAACCCCAACACTCCACCACTTAACCCCAACACTCCACCACCTAACCCCAGCACTCCACCACTTAACCTCAACACTCCACCACCTAACCCCAGCACTCCACCACTTAACCTCAACACTCCACCACACAACCCCAACACTCCACCACTTAACCACAACACTCCACCACTCAACCCCAACACTCCACCACTTAACCCCAACAATCCACTACTCAACCCCAACACTCCACCACTTAACCCCAACACTCCACCACTTAACCACAACACTCCACCACTCAACCCCAACACTCCACCACTTAACCCCAACACTCCACCACCTAACCCCAGCACTCCACCACTTAACCTCAACACTCCACCACCTAACCCCAACACTCCACCACCTAACCTCAACACTCCACCATTCAACCACAACAATCCACCACCTAACCCCAATACTCCACCACTTAACCCCAACACTCCACCACCTAACCTCAACACTCCACCATTCAACCCCAACACTCCACCACACAACCCCAACACTCCACCACCTAACCCCAACACTCCACCACCTAACCTCAACACTCCACCATTCAACCCCAACACTCCACCACCTAACCCCAATACTCCACCACACAACTCCAACACTCCACCACTTAACCCCAACACTCCACCACTCAACCCCAACACTTCACCACTCAACCCCAACACTCCACCACTTAACCACAACACTCCACCACTCAACCCCAACACTCCACCACTTAACCCCAACACTCCACCACCTAACCCCAGCACTCCACCACTTAACCTCAACACTCCACCACCTAACCCCAACACTCCACCACCTAACCTCAACACTCCACCATTCAACCACAACAATCCACCACCTAACCCCAATACTCCACCACTTAACCCCAACACTCCACCACCTAACCTCAACACTCCACCATTCAACCCCAACACTCCACCACACAACCCCAACACTCCACCACCTAACCCCAACACTCCACCACCTAACCTCAACACTCCACCATTCAACCCCAACACTCCACCACCTAACCCCAATACTCCACCACACAACTCCAACACTCCACCACCTAACCCCAACACTCCACCACTCAACCCCAACACTTCACCACTCAACCCCAACACTCCACCACACAACCCCAACACTCCACCACCTAACCCCAACACTCCACCACACAACCCCAACACTTAACCAACCAGTCTCAACAAAGCTTGAGTTAATATCTGCAACAACATGCCAAGGCAATATCCATCAGCAGAATAACAGCAATGTCCCTTGTTGGGTTCCAAACCCAGCCACGTGTTTATGGAAGTGCGTGGGCTTGTTTCTGCAAGGGCATTCAGGTTTATGCCCTTACTTAATCACTTTACCCCCCCAAGCTATGGGAACATGAAACCACTTAAGGTACTTATATTGCAAGTTCAGAAGGTTTCAGGTCACGGCATGAGCATGCGGAGAAAGGCGTGGAGTTCCTACAGCGTGCAGCAGTGAACATCGCGACGTTTAACAGCAATTCTCAGTGTTCTAAGCGTGCAACTAATTAGCATTTTCTTCACAATATGCATGCTTTCCGATTTAGCTTTCCATAAGACGTATTGGGGTGGAGCGGTGGTGATACGTGGTCCGAATTAGCCAAATTTTTTAACGTACACGCAAATGATTAAATTGAAATATACCCAACGATCATCGCCCCCTAACTGCAAAAACACGGTAGAACCCTCCTGAAACAGAGTGACGAGACTCGGTGAGGCTTTCCTTGGGCAGACGAGCCAAGTAACAATAGGGGGCCTGCGGTGGCGGGATGTTAACTCCCTCGCCTCTTATGCAGGAGGGCATGGGTTCGATCCCGACCCTGACGCCTCTGTATTTGGAGTTTGTGTATTCTCTCTCCCCGTGATCACGTTTATTTTTCTCTGGGTCCTCCACTTTTCCCCTCCACATTTAGAAACACGTGTGTAGAGCGAGAATCGGTTTTACCTTTTTTTCTGGCAACAAAACAAGTGTTAAGATGTTAAAACACCAGACTGAAACCTTTTACAAGGAATTATGTCCGTATTAACCACAATACTTGTGGTCAGAATGCAAACAAAAAACAAACTCTGATAATGTATGCATTGTCTTTGAAACTGATTGGTCCACACCAGAGACAGCTTTCTTTTGAGCCTCGTCTCAAAACGGTGTTAGACCAGAAGACGCCAAAAGGCGTACAGCTGTAACACCGTTTTGAGACTATTCTCATATTTTGGTACTGGCAAAGGAGGTCCCATGACGTGTGTAGAGCATTTGGCTGCTGCTATAAATTCCCACGTGATAAGCCACTTGATTGAGCTATAATTTGTGGCCAGGTCGCTTCTGAAAACAGGCTACATAGCTCAGTCAGCCTTACCTGGTAAAATAAAACAATAGTATAGTTTAGTTTAATAAGTCACTGTTAGTGGACCGTTCTATGAACTTTTGGTGACTCGAGTTTGGGTTTACAACCACAGCTTGCGAACATCAGTGGCAAGTGACATCACAATCGGTCCTCGATGCCCCCCCCCCCCCCCTCCTTCACCAGCCCGTACTTTACCAGTGCGGGCAAAGTAGGTTTAAACAACCCCAGTGACCTTCACGAGACCTTCATCCAGCCGTGCACTGACAACGGGCGGCACATACAATTGCACGGGCACCACAATGTCCATTGAATGAAGCGTCTTGCTGTTAGTGCGTGCGATAAGAAGAACATAAATTATACCCACACCGCATTTTCCCCACCTGCCAGGAGTCGATGCAGCTCGTGGGAGGATGCGGCTTTCCTCATTGTGCTGCCGATGCAAATTTTATATTTTTTCTCCCCATCAGTCAGCATAATTAATGGACTAATTACTGGGTTTAAGTTTGGTGGCATGTGCCTGCAATTGAGCTTGCTTGAAGGTATGGTGGGTGGAGGTTATGTGCGCGGGATGCACACCATCCAGGCTAAAGAGTGGTCAGGGTTGGCCCATCGATCTGTGCGAGTTGTTTAGTGTTCTCCGCCTTGTGTGCGTGGCTTTGCTGTGGACCCTCTGGTGAACTGCCAAACGCACAAATTTAGTACGAAATTGCATCGGTCAAACATTGCAAGAAGGACATTCTTAAATTTACAGTTCTGTTACTCGGTAACGCTTTCCCGCATATATATGAAAATATAAACATGATGAATATTTAAATAGCGTTGACCGATACGCATTTTATGATGGCATGAAAGCAGTAAAAAAATATTCGTGTATTTTAAGCTACAAATGAGACATGGATCCCTATATCATGTACTCTGGTAACTGAATTTCTAGCAAATGTGGCCACGTGTTATCAGGTTTGCGTTGATTGATATCAACAATTTAACTTGTAATTAAAGGGAAGTGATCGTTGGCGTGCAGTGTTATCATTCCCGTCAAAAGACAACGAGCGGCCTATGGATCATTCACAACAATAGAATACCGTCCAGTCCTTCATCTGTCCACTGCTGGATGAAGGCCTCCCCGTGTTGTGTAAGAGATGGGGGTTCATTATCTGCACTGGTCAATGCAAGTTTGTGAAGGGTGGGCCCAGGACCGGGGTCACATGTCACTCGCCACTGACGTTAGCTGTGCGTGGCTGGGAATTGAACTCGGGTCGTTGGCTTCACAGGGCAGAGTGCTAATTAGTTTGTCAGCACCTTCCCCCATGCACCTAATTTTATTTTACATTTTCATTCATGAAAGAACAAATGCCTGGACATCAATGAACCTCATGGCGGAACCCCGGGGTCCCATAAGCCACCGGCTCTCGCATAAACTGCGTTGAGACGTCATTTTATGTCTGTCGAAGGCGAACGATACGGCGATCTATTCCTCTGGACGAGCTCTGCACGATGCGCTAATCAAAGTTTCAAAGTTTTGTTTATGACTACGGCATTCGTCCCCGCTGCGCTTGGACGACACGACAACAGAACGATCCGTGCCAGGCGGGTCGCGGCGTTTACGTGCGCGGTGGGACAGAGTCGTCAAAACTAAATTAATTAATTCCGATTTTGACTTCAGTTTATTCGGGACCCCGGGGTCCCGCCATAAGGTTCATTTGAAGGATATGGTTCACTGCAGGGCATTAAATTTAATCCATTTGGCTTACTCCTTGGATAAGACTCAACAATGGAAGGGCCTCGAAGTTGAAATCTTATTTCAGGGTCGACTCAGCACATCATCCGTCCAGAGTGCATAAAATACGTACTACAGAGAGACTCTCTCCTGCCATGAGAGAGGAATTTCCACGACAGAGATGCGCAAGGCCACGTACTTGTTTGAGCAGATGGACACTTTTTTGCATTTTCATTGCATTGCATTAGTATTGGAAAATATAACAATTAGAATTAGAGTAAAATCGTGGGAGAAAATAGACACAAATTAACCTATGTAAGTTTACATTTAAGTGGCATACGGTGTAGCGATTGCTTTTGGGTCAGTAACTTGTGCGTGTACTGGAGGGATTGGCAGATAAACTGTGTGCAAAATTGGGCTCTGAAAAGTACAGAGATTGCTCAGGTCATAAATTTTAACAGCCCAATAGAAATTGCGTCACGCTTTAATATCCTAGATCCATAAAAAAAAATCCCGTCTGAGAATTGAATTTAAAGTTATTTCAGTTTGAAGAGTTGGACAGGAATGAAATCTAACATGTACTTTCATGATATTTTTTTGAAGGGACAATAGGAGATTAAAGTGGAAACCCCCCCCCCCCCAGATAATTTTATGGGGTGGCACTGCAAAAGTTTGCTCGACTCACGACCACAAGATTACGAGTTAGACTCCCAGTCAGAGGTCATTTCAGCCGGTCATCCCTCCAGAGGTTAATATAATAGGTGCCATTTCGCGAGAGGTTAGCATTCGCTATCCAGTAGAGACTGAC